GTCTATAATGCTCCGAAATCTGTGAAAAGTCTCGATCATCTTCGTTATATGCATTACGTCAAGTCTACAAAACTTAATTAACCTGTGCAGCTTTCAAATATTCCACCAACAAAAGCAGCTGCTCATCAACCTTTCAAACGTGTATATTATTAAGTTCAAACTTGGTTAAGGCATGATTTGGAACCCCAGGTATGGAGTTGGGCAATGCGAAACGATTTTCTGGAGCCTATCATGACAATTTTACCACCTGCTCCAGAAGATTTGCTAAATACAATTTTCTGCAACTGCAAGAGTGGTTGTGGTTCGCGATGCGGATGCAGGAAAGCGGGCTTGCAATGCTCTTTAGCTTATGGCCAATGTAATGAGCAAGCTTGTCTCAATGCTCTTCCATATCAGAGCGACATTAACGAAGATGGAACCTTTGACCCCGAAATCATGGAAGAACTTGAGAGAAATGTCGTTGAAGACGATAATGAAGACTAGTTTGAAATTTACCAGCAGCCGGAAGACGACGATGAAGAGGAAGAAGATTGTTAAAATTATAAATTGTAGTTTTTGTACCTTTTATTCCATTTTTTTACTTTTAATAAAAATAAAAATATTGAATGAAATTTTTTAATAAAAAGATTAATTCATAATTTGTTTTTTTTTATCATGTAAGAATTTATTAATATTAATTAGGTTAAAATTCAAATATAATTCCTATATTTTCATTAACAATTTTGCAATTACATGGGCAGGTAAGTGTTGTTAAATAAATTAATACTAAATAAAAAGTGGATAGGTTAGGAAAAAAAATGATAAAATATAATATAATAGTTAATAAAAATTGACAAATATTTATAATCATTGATTTATCGATATTTCATCAACTATATATGGCGCCGGCGCGTTTTCGACCGGAGGCACCGGTTGACCTGAAGTGATGCTGTGACCGCGCGCTCTCCGTCATCTATCTCGAAAACGGTTCACCGTATGAAAAATTTTTTTAAACAAAATTTTTAGAGAATTTTGTATTCTACAATATTGATAATAAATGCAAATAGCAAAAAACCCATAGGAAATGAGATATTTACAAAAAAAAGCGCAAAAAACCGATTTTTGTGACCTTTGACCTTGAAATTTAATAGATGCGTACACCCCACCATATGTAGGTTTTGAGACAACTTTTAGGGTGTCAATATACAAGTATTTACAGACTTACAGCTGGGTATCTCGAATTCCGAGGTGAACTTACTATAATGATTGGACTATATAGCCGCTATTGAACATTGAAACTCTACTAAAAATAATGCACCAGATATACCTACTTACAGTTCATCAAATTTCTAGAGGCTTTCGACGGCTAGACAGAGAAAGCACTACTGACAGGCATCCCGACGGATTTACGCAATGAAAGTACACTCTGCGCATCAAGTATTTCACTATTTCATTCAGACGTAAATGTCAGATGTAAATTTCGCTAAAACATTTCTTTTATTTTCGTTTGTGTTTTTTGCTCATTACAGTTTAATAGAACCTAAGTATGGAGTTTAATAGCAAATTAAGATGCCGCGTGATTAACAGTCAATCTCGCAAAATAATAGCCAATGTTATAGAGTTTATGAGAAGAGAAGGAAACTTTAATTCACCTTCAATACCATTTAAAAATGTAAATGATCGTGTTGCTGCAGCCACAGGAGTATCTAAAAACACTGTCGTCCGCATTTCTGGAGAGAAAAAAAGAATCTATAACCGTGAGATATCGGAATTTTCATCACCAAGAAAAACTATTAAAAAACCAAAAACAGTTAATGATATAGATGAAGCTGCACAAGAATCAAATTTTATTTTTTTATTATTAGATAGCTATTTTTGTTTCTGAGTTGTGTTCATTTACAGGCTCAATTTTTTTCCGTTTCTCCTTTTTGATTTTATATGGGATTTCAAGTTGTTTTTGACTTATTTCGACGTAAATCACAACAACACACTTTTTTAATAAAGCAAACAAGTGTTAAGAGGTATATGTACGTGTAAACTACAATTACAAAAAATTGATATGAAACCCATGAAACCACCAACAAAAATGTAAAGCTAGCTTCCGTACTAGAACATGGTGTCATTCGTCGAGATAATTTATCGTTTTGTTTAATAGATCAAGAAATGTAAATATTCCCCTGTTATTTTTTATAAAATTATAAGAGAAATAAATTTTTTTCTAAATAGTATAGTTTATTATTTTGTAGAAAAACAAAATTTCGAAAATTTTAGTAATGTTTCAGAAACAACCGTTATTAATAATAGATATCATTTTCCTTAATAAGGTAGAAATAAAATATAAACTATTTCCACGATTTACAAAGGCCTACAAAAAAATTATAGGTATTTTCCGCTATCCTATAAAATTTATATTTTCTGACTCAATTTCAAAAGGTTGAAGGAATTCCAAAACACCTTTTATGGCATAATAATTATTTTCAATTCTACATACTATCTTTAGCTGCTTTTAAAAACGTTCTAAGAAAGTCCAATCAGACCAATTTAATCCCTAAACTATTCCACACTTTTAAAATTTAATTAACTAAAAATATTAAAAACTATTTAAAATAACTTGTTTAGTAGACTGTACAATAGCTATCTTAGTCACACGTAGCGCGTTCTCTGTCTGGGCGTCGAACACCTCTAGAAATTTGATGAACTGTACCTTCAAGGACCGTTTGATCAACAGCATTTATTTATATATACGCTATGTAACATTTTGAATAAAATAATTTAGTACAAATTGTTACTTTAATGTAGATTGCACATAGATATATAAATTGATATAATCTTTATGTGAAGAAATTTATATAACGGATATGTAATTTTGTAACATATATTTTAATTATATACATGGTATATAACTATGGTGCTAAGTTTGAACTTAGGTCTTTGGTTCTATAAATAACACATAAAAGTACATACAAGACAGTCTAAGTATATTTTATTCTTCTTAGTTATGTAACAGGAGGGAACATGTAACAGAATGGTTTGCTGGGAAGTTTTAACGGATCTGAAGATAATATCTACATTGCTCTTGAAAAATAGTTTTTTTTAAGTAATATTTAAATGAAATTAGAGATTTTCTTCTTATATCAAGTGACAGTTCATTATACAAAGCGGCAATAGTGTATGAAAAAGATCTTGTAAATAAGGCTGTTTTGTGTTTCGGTATTGTTATTGTATGTTTGTAACGTATGTTAATGTTGTGAACGTCTTCTCTATAAGTAATTTTTCTTGTCAAGTAAGGTGGTTTTTTATCAGATATAATTTTGTGAAAAAACGTAAGAGAATACAATCTACGTCTATTGGCCATATTTAACCAGTTTGCTGTTATAAGCTTATGACTAATTCGATCGTACTTCCTAATACCGTAGACTAATCTAAGGCAGGAGTTTTGTAATTTTTGGAGTTTGTTCTGATCAACGACTCGTAAACATGGTCCATAGATGACATAATCGCAATAGTTGGCATGCGAAAGTACCAATGACTCTGTCAGTAATAACTTAATTTCTTGTGACAGATATATCCGATTGGCATACAAAAGCTTTAAATTGGAATATCCATTCTTTAAAATATTATTGACGTGATAAGAAAACCTAAGATTTTGATCAATAATAACTCCCAAATTTTTCGATTTCTCAATAGGTTTTAGAATATTATTTTTTAGTTTAATTGTAATATTATCTTTTGTTAAACCAAATAATATAATATATGACTTGTTTGAATTTAAATGCAAATCGTGTTTACTAGACTGGTCAATAAGATTTTCCAAATCACTGTTAATTTCATTTTGCAACATTAACAAATTTGTTTTACTACCGAAACGGTACAATTGTGTATCATCTGCATACATGTGCATTTTTGAAAAATTTAAACAAGTAGGAAAATTGCTAGTGTAAATGGTAAATAAAATGGGCCCAAGAATTGAACCTTGAGCTACCCCTCTTTTAATTTCACCTTCGTTTGAGGTGTGTCCTTTATATGTAATTACTTGACGTCTGCGATTGAAGTAATATTTAAACAGATCTATGGCTGACTCATGTACACCTATAAATTTTAATTGTGAAAAAAGGACAGTGTGACTAATTGTGTCAAAGGCCTTGCTGTAGTCCAACAAGATCAGTGCTCCGACATTTCCCTTATCTAGTTCCCTAAAAATGTCATCAGTGATATTTAGCAATGCACTACCACAACTATATCCCGGCCTAAATCCAGATTGCACCTCAGGGAGGATATTATAAGTATCTAAGTGGGTACGAAGTTGAGTTTCCATGACAATTTTCAATTATTTTAGAAAATGTTGGAAGAATGGTGATTGGTCGTATATCTTTTAAATTAGTGGGGTTTTGTATTTTTGGGATTGGAATTACCTTACCTACTTTCCACTGATCTGGGAACACAGAAAGGGTTAAGCAGTAGTTTATGATATTGCTTATATATGGCAGTATAAATGGACACGTGAATCTTATAAGTGTTATATCTATATCATCTGTTCCTCTAGCTTTAGTTTTTATGTTAATAATTATTTTGCTAATTTCATTTTCAGTAACAGGAGTAAATCTAAAAGTATTAGGGAAGTTTTGTTGACGATTGTTTTCATAATAACGAACAAGATGCTATATAAATGTTACTGCAGAGTTTTCAAGAAAGAATTCCCAAATTTGAATTTTCGTAGACCCGGAACAGATACTTGTAAGACCTGCGACAGACATGCAAGTGTGATAAAAATGGACAAACATGCATCGCCTACTGTGAGGCTAGACATACAGTTGCACCATTGTAAGACAGAAAAAGCCCAAATCAACCTTAAAGAAGACTGTGCTTCTTCCCAGTAACCCGGAAGTGAGATTTGCACAATAACAATAGATCTAGAAAAAGTATTATTCGTTCCAACGTTAACTCTCTCCGATATGTATTATATGAGGCAACTGTCTGTTTACAACTTTAGTGTGCATATTGCTGATACAAATGAAGCATGTATGTGTATTTGGAATGAAACCGAAGCGTCCAGAGGTTCTAATGAAATTATGTCCTGCTTACTAAAGGCTTTAAATTCCAATGTTACAGAAAAGAAGAAACTGAACATATGGTGTGACAACTGCACAGGGCAAAATAAGAATCGGGTGGCAATATTTTTGATCCTGTTTTTGACATCTATCGGTCTATTCACAGAAATTACTTTGGAATTCCTCGTTAGCTACTTACCAAATGATCGTCATTTCGCACAGATTGAAAGGAGGAGAAGACTTAAAAAATGCTTCGTGTCTGAGGATATACAACAGCTCATCAGAGAGATCAGATCCATACAGCCATATAAAGTTGTGAATATGGAACCCGGACACTTTTTAAATTTACAACAAGCTGCGGATTCTTTAATATCTACTACTAAGCTTTCAATATCGACGCTGTCACAGATACGAGTTACAAAAGATAACCCAGGATACGTATTTTTCAAAAAATCTCACAGTGATATCGAAAGTTGGCAAAAGTTAAGAGTTCTCTAGAAAAATATATCTGAGGACCAAATAAAAAACGTACAGATAGTTAGGCAGGAATCGACCCCAGAACTTACTGCAGCTAAAAAGCAAAATTTACGTGCTATGATTCCTTATCTTCATTTACCAGAGCACCGGGAGTTCTACGAAAAACTTACATCATAGTTGCTGGCACTTACCTACCATGAAAATGATTGTGGTACTTATTAGCCCTTTTCTATTTTTTCCATTTTCATTTGCCTGTATTAGACAATGTTTTGATTGTTTTGTGTATTTCTTTCCTTGTATATGTTTCATGTTTGCAAATAAACACTTGACAAATTAAAAATATTTTCATTCATAAATGGTTAAATTAATCGGTTTTCCGAGTCCCCTGAAAATTTTTCTTTTTGGCACATAGCCTCTTATTCAAGTCTACTCTTCAATTATTAATTGCACTTGATATTTATTGAATTTTATGTTTATTTATTTTGTTAAATTTTGTAAGAAAATATTATCAAGTTTACTCACTTAACCAACCGTAAAGTTTTTAAATTGGTATTTTGTATCAATAGGAAAAAAATTAGAGATAGTATTTTTAAAGTAATTTTGCTATGAGGGTCTGAGGTATTAAATCATTTTGGAAAAGAGATCTCTTGCACAAAATAGTTGGTTTAGACGATACGAAGGAATGTTTAATGAAAAAATGTTAGGTAAAAATCATTTTTTCCAAAAATTTTCATTTTTCCGAAGCGTGCAGTTCAAAAATGGTTGGGATTTCAAAAAAAAAATGTAAAAAAACAAAAGTTGTAGAGAATTTCATAAGCTTTCACTTAGTATTGAAAAATGTTTCCCTGTGACGCACCACTTTTGAGTTATAAGTGAAAAACCTAAGAGTGGGATCTTATTGGTGCCCTCCCCCTCCGGCTTACCTGTTAGAAGTCAGGACTTTTAGTATGTTCACTTTATAAGCACCCCGAAAAAGTTTCTGAAGGAATTGCTTAGGTCCCTGCTCGCACACTCTACACCTCCTTTATTGAGTGAACTACATACTATAGGAGAAAAGTTAATGTCAGCCGTTGGAAAAGTTTTAAAAATTGTATTACACAAACCTACATCTGGGGGGCTATTTTCAAACTCGAGAGAATTCATTTCTCTCAAGGGAAATGTCATATGTCAACGTAAAACAGTATTTTTAGGGCCAGTCTGAACTCACTGATTATTTCTCTCGCTTTGTTTAGAGATAATTAAAATTCTCCTAAGAATTTTAATCCTCTAGGCCTTTAAAAACAGCGTTTCCACATTGACGTATGACATTTCTGATTAGAACCTTGAGGGAAATGAGTGCTTCCATACTTTGAAAGGTCCCCTAATATTACTAAAATAATTCCTTTAAGCAACAACACAGTTCAGAGGCGTATTTATGAAATGAGTCATGAAATTAAAAGCTTTTTGTGTACTTTTTTTTCAAACGTATTTTTTGATACCTACAGCTGGACGAGTCAACCTTGCCTGGTAGAACAGAAGTAAAAGTTAGAAATGCTTTTGCCAGTTCTCCCACTTTATACACATAAATTGACAGGTTGCCAGCGGATCTCACCGAAGTGGACGCGATACATTGGCGTACAAAATTATTTTATAGATGATAATAACAATTTCGAGTAAATATAGTTTAATAAATTGTGAATAGCTGTTGAAATTTTGTAAAATTATAATTTGAATATTATAATACATGTTTAATAATTATTTATAATCCATAAATACATGCGATTGTCGGGTTCCGCCGATAACAATTTAAAATTACTTATTCTATGAAACGACACTGGCAGGTAAACATTACTGTGAAATTCTCGGAGCCACCCGACGTGGTTTGACGTTTACCCCCTCTCTACCTACCAAAAGACTTTTCAACTTTTACTTTCTCTATAATAAAGCATTATTATTAGCATATTATGTTTGTTTTATTATCGTTTATCGCCTCGGGTGGCGTAATTGTCTTACAAGCAATTATGTGTTTGAAAGATACGCGACTTCGAATCCTACTGCAGACCATGTGAACTGTTAATAATTAATTTCCATAGTTCATTATACCTAGGATTTAATGAATGCCGTATTAGCTGCAGACATTTAATTTCTGTTGATATGACATACAGATTATAAATTGCCATGCGTTATACCATTTCGATGATGGTGGGTAGGGCACCATCTTTAAGTCGCCCCAGAGCACTACGAGAAATAATAATAGCCGTCCCTTTTCCGAACAAGCTCAGCTTTTGGGGTTGAAATTCACTCGTAATAAGTGGGTGAATTAAGAAGAATATTATTATTTTTTTATGATAAAATGGTGAGGGCAAGGACTCCTTCATATTATCTACATTTGTAGTAATTTTTATTTGAATTAAGTTAGGTATTTAAATGACATACTGAATTTAAATCACGGTTTTAAAATGTAGGTCAATGACTCTTGATAAGGAATGACCCACAAGTTTGACTCACCGACAAACATGTCGCCAACATTCGTCTGTGTAAACCTTGTCGGTATCATTCGACTGTCGATACACGTGAAAAACACCGCCTTTGGCTAAAAAATTTAAAAAATTATTAAGCATGTGGTGCGTACGCAGTACTGGTGGTTTTACGCTATGTTGCCAAGTCGTTTTTAAAAATGACCATGATTGATTTAAATTACATTTAAAATAAAAAAACATGCAGGTACCTACTTGATAAACTTTTTAGTGTAAAATGTCTTCTAATTTTATTGGTCGAACATCGAATACATTGAACTATGGATTGAGGAGTAAGTATACAAAATGTGTGACCAAATACATAGGTGGATGTTCGAAATCTAATTTCTTTTCTTTTAAATAGGGTATAGTATTTCTTGTCAATAATTGGCGATGAAAAAATTGTAGAAAAAAGTGACACAGATTGCGAATATCTTGCCTAGACAGATTTGTTCGGTACTGATGCAGCCCTGGATTTATCAATATAGGCCGCGACCTAGGGGCGGCAAACTTCAGAGGACGCTCACTCGATTTCAAAGGATAAAAGTCAAACAAGTTCACTGGTTTTCTCATTGTGTTTTATACTATGTTAAATCCCTATAGAAACTCCCCAGACAGCACACCAAATCCTTTGGATATCTACTGAACATCCCAATATCCACTGAATGTCCAGTCCATGGTAGACATCTATTTTATATCCATGAAATGTAATTTATAGACATACAAATGTCCATAAATAATAGTAATTATATAGCAAATTATTAAAAAATTACGCCATTGTGGCTAATAGTACCATTCAGATATTTAAAATTATTTTTTTTAAGGTGTATTCAATATCCCATGAACATCCACTAAATATATCAAAGTCTAGGCGCGAACGCAAACCATCGTGGATATCCACTAGATGTTATTTGATTCTGCTTACTAAGTATAGATGGCGACACCACTATCGCATCTACTCATGCTCGACCCGCCGTAATTGAGTTCGATCGAAATGTGTGAACTATTCATTCCATTAGAGACTGGAGTGGTGAATTTTCATTTATTGCTGAAGAGTCCTAATAAGAATGACTTTCTCCTTAGTGGGCAAAATCAAACGCAGAGTGTTGAACATATTTTGAGTGTTGAAAATATTTTTTATCTCTGCTATTTTCTTTCGACGTTATTCAATAATCATTGGTTACTTATGAACCTCTACTAAAGATACCCATAATATATTTTGCTGAATATCCGAATATCTTCTATATCCTGGGATATAGACGGACATTTTTGGTTGAATATCCATATTGGATATATTGAATATTCACAAAATATATTCTGTGATTTCTTGTATTTTCTGGAAAGATACCCATTAGCTATTTTGCTGAATATCCATTAGGATATCTTCTATATCCTGGATACAGACGGACATTTGGATATCCATATTAGATTCACGGAATATTTCTGATATCCTGTGGATATATTGGATATCCACAAAAGATATTCTGCGGATATCTCTGGGATTTGGTGTGTTGTCTGGGTCATTCCTATCGAAAATTATCAATCGTAGGTACCTACTGTTATTTTACCTATTTTATTTATGTTACGACGATTTGGTTCAAGAATGTGTGCATTTTCATAGTCACATTTCCTCTAATGTTGTAAAACACATCGCCTATCTGTTTGACCACAGTTAATTTTTTTGTAATTGTTTTTCTTCGGCAATTATTGACTAGAAATATTTATATTCGTTTAGTAACTGCCATGTTTTACATCGTCTACCCTCTACATATATGTTAATTTTTTTATAAGACTAAGACTGTAATCTAGATTAATAATTTTAAATTTGTCTTACAAAAATTCGCAATCTCGTGCAGTTAGATCTACCTAGGTTATAAAATGTTTTTCACAACTTGACAACATCGCATAAAACGTAAACAACAAAACATTAAAAATGTTACATTCAATTTCGTCATTCTTAATTAAACTAAACAGAAAATTATAGAATTACTTACTGTGGGATTATCCTTGACTTGTAAAAACTGTTTAACCATCTGCTCTTTAACATTACACCTGTACTTCATAATACCTTTCAATAATTTGTCCATTTTGGAATAAATATTATAGATAATATAGATATTAAAAACTTTTTGTTTGTGTTAATCTTAACGTTAAACATTTGTTGTTATCGGCGGCGGTCTAGAATACGGGTCAATTTGGTAAATTTTAGAATATGCAACTTTGAACGTTTACTTTCAGAGGTTATTCATACATACAAGGTTTAATCACAATCAATCCAACTTTTACGGATTATTTTTTATGGCGCACAGATTAGAAGATTCGATCTTGCTTCTCGTTTTGCAGCGATGGATGTATAGGGGGAAATGGGGCCAAAAATATGGATTTAATTTTGGTTTTATAGAGTATCTATATAGATTTTAAAATGAAGGCATTTATTTTTAATTTAAATAAAATATTAAAGGTTTTAAAATATTCTGTATATATCATTAAGAATGGGCAATCTCTGAACCAGAGCTAGGTAATTCATGTACTTTAAAAATAATTACAATTGCATGTTGTAAAAATAGGAATTATACTGATTTAATTACAAATACAAGAAAAAAGAAATTATCAATTAATAATTACTTTGCGGATAAAACAACAAATTATGATACAATTTCCAGACAGCACACCAAATCCTTTGGATATCTACTGAACATCCCAATATCCGCTGAATGTCCAGTCCATGGTGGATATCTATTTTATATCCATGATATGTAATTTATAAACATGCAAATGTCCATAAATTATAGTAATTCCATCAGAAATTATTAAAAAATTATGCTATTATGGCTAATAGTTCCATTAATATATTTCAAATAACTTTTTTTAAAATGTATTCAATATCCCATGGATATCCACTAAATATATCAAAGTCTGGGCGCGAACGCAAACCATGGTGGATATCCACTGGATGTAATTTATGGATAATATAATATGTACATAAAATATACAAATTGATTTAATAATTATTAAATTATTTAAATATTACGCCATGTGATAACTAAGAAAGTATGTAGGTATAGTTTATAGAAATTTAAAATTAGTAAGTTGTATTAATTATCTCACTAGATAAATAATATTGGCAATGAACGCGAGCGCAGGCGCGGATATTTCCTGTCCTCACAGGTGCCATCGGCTAGGGATGCGCAAATTTTTTAAAACATCGATGTTGACATCAAATGATACATCGAATACAGACTATCGATATTGTAAAAAAATCGGAAAAGAAAATATCGATTTTTCTAAATATCTTAGTTTGTTTTTCCATACATCGATGTGTCTGTAAACATCGATGTTTTCCAAAAGTGTTCATTGAAGAGCAAAAGAAATTCAAACCATCAATTGAAACGTGACGCTTAACAGAAAACCAAAAAACATTGAAAAGAAAAACATACCGGTGGCACTCGGGGACTGCCGCGGTAAAGCTATTGCATAGCATTTTTTATCAACTTATGCAATTATAATTATTTATTTATTTTGTTTATGCAGTATTTTTTTCTTTGATATTTATTCAAGTTTTTTCTTTGATATTAATTCAAGTTACACTTTTTGAGCGTGGTGACCGATAAGAAAACAATTTTTTTTTCTTTTATTGAATAAATGAGAAATTAATATTGTTTAAAATATTTTTACTTACAATACATGTAGGTTATTCAGGAATTTTTATCATTGAAACTATAGGTTTATGGTAACTGAAATAAGAAACATAAGTTTGAGACTTGATATCATCTAAATATCTGGAAAATACTGCGTCAATGCCCAGACAACACACCAAATCCCAGAGATATTCACAAAATATCTTTTGTGGATATCCAATATATATCCACAGGATATCAGAAATATCCCGTGGGTCTAATAGGGATATCCAAATGTCCGTCTATATCCAAAATATAGAAGATATCCCATGGATATCCAGCAAAATATCTAATGGGTATCTTCCAGACAATATAAGAAATGCCAGAGATATCCACAGAATATATTTTGTGGATATCCAATATATCCAGTGAATCTAAAATGGATATCCAAATGTCCGTCTATATCCCAGGATATAGAAGATATTCGGATATTCAGCAAAATATTTTATGGGTATCTTTTAGCAGAGGTTCATAAGTAACCAATGATTATTGAATAACGCCGAAAGAAAATAGCAGAGAGATAAAAAATATTTTCAACACTCTGCCTTTCATTTTGTCCACTAAGGAGAAAGTCATCCTTATTAGGGCTCTTCAGCAATAAATGGAAATTCTCGACTCCAGTTTCTAATGGGAGTCTGATTGCGAAACCAATTTCGATCGAACTCAATTACGGCGGTTGAGCATGAGTAGATAATCAACGATCGAAAGTGGTATCGCCATCTATACTTAGTAAGCAAAATGAAAAATTACATCTAGTGGATATCCACCATGGTTTGCGTTCGCGCCTAGACTTTGAAATATTTAGTAGATGTCCATGGGATACTGAATACACCTTAAAAAATTTATTTTAAATATCTGAACGGTACTATTAGCCACAATGGCGTAATTTTTTAATAATTTGCTATATAATTACTATTATATATGGACATTTGCATGTCTATAAATTACATCTCATGGATATAAAATAGATATCCACCATGGACTGGACATTCAGTGGATATTGGGATGTCCAGTAGATATCCAAAGGATTTGGTGTGCTGTCTGGGTGGTGGTCCCATATTTTGTTGTGGATTCTTGTGGATCATTATTCATTAACCGACTTCAAAAAAGAAGGAGGTTATCAATTCGTCGCGATATTTTTTTCAAGTTCAATTTTTCCGAACTTGTGTCTAAAAGAGATAGAATCAGTTATGAGCAGTTAGCAGCTAGTCTATACGCTAATTTGAAAATGCTTTACCCGCATATCGCCATGTTTTAGATCAAAATATAAAAATACTTCTTTGTGATACTATGGTTCTCAGTCATTTTAATTACTGCGATGTCGTCTACGGGCCTTGTATTGACTATGTGGATATTAATCGTATTCAAAGAGTACAAAATTCTTGTCTTCGCTACATATATATGGTATAAAAAAATACGAAAGGATAAGTCACAAACTAATTGAAACTAACTGGTTAAATATGGAAACTAGAAGGAATTTACACATGGTAACATTGTATCATAAGATCATTTCATTAAAGTCGCCTCCTTATCTCTATAATAAAATTACATTTCGAAGTGATGTGCATAATGTGCATACAAGGTTTAGAGGGCATATATCTCCACCTCTCCATCGTACCTCCAAATTTCAAGGTTCATTCTCTTATATGATATTTAAACTATATAACCTGGTTCCTCCTAAACTCAAACATCTTTCGACAAATATGTTTAAGCAAAAGTATAAACATCTCTTGATGTCAGAAAATATCTAGTCAAAACAACCATTAGATATTATAATAAAATGTAATATTACATTTATAAAATGTGTATTTATATTTTTGTCTCGATTGTGCCACACTTTATTCGTTGTATTTTATTATTTTAATATTTTTCTTTTCTTTATTAGGGATAGCAATTAATATCAGCTATGCTGTCTGCTATTCCCTTTTTGTAGTATTATACTATTTTGTTCGATAAAATTTATGTATTTAATGCAAATTTACCTGTAATACTGCAAATAAATTATTATTATTATTATTATACGCATACCTCCAGTCGCACGCACACAAACGACGTGCCGAAGTCTGCCGAACTGAAACGACGTTAAACGATGCACGGCTTTCAACGCCGCACCGCTGTGCCGGTCGGAGTGGGGGGTGTTAGGTTTATTTTCGTTACGGAATTTCTTTTTTGTTTTTTAGATTTTTCGATTTTCTTTTATTGAATAAATGAGAAGTTAATATTGTTTAACGCCGCACCGCTGTGCCGGTCGGAGTGGGGGGGTGTTAGGTTTTTTCGTTCCTTCATAAAGCTACTTTTTTCGTGTGATTTAGGTATTGTATTATTGTTGGTGATACGGTTTGGTTTTTATTGTTTAATGGTTGTTATAAGGTTTCCAGACTCAATCCAATAAAGGCGTTTGTACCGGGATTGCGTAATAATTCGCGTTACATGCCATGCGAATGCTACAAATTCTATACCCTCACATTGCAAATAAGCGTGAACCGTCTTGGTATAGCCTCTGATGTGGCACACCTAAGTTTTAAACATCTACGCACCTACAGTTGATGTTAAGTCCACAAGTGAGCGGCCAGAATTGCTGGCTCGCCTGGCTGCTTTAGTTGTTTTATCTTTGATCAGTAGCGTACACGGTTTGAAATTTTTTCCCAAAAAGTTTGTTAAACTTGTTTTTATTTTTCAGTGTTTCTGTTAAATTTTGATTTGTGTTATACGAGATGCTTTCTGGAGACCTTTTGAGGTAGATGTAGATGCTAGAGTCATATAATTTTACATGCCGGAAATGAAAATGGCTTTGTAGCAAACGCTTCGCTACTTTCAGAAAAATATGTCAATAAACCTCTGCTGGTTTATCATGAAGATATGAATGCAGTAGTTTTTAAGAACTGGTTTGCTGAACAACTTTTACCGAATATTCCACCTAATTCAGTCATTGTAATGGACAATACGCCATATCATTCCCGGAAAATTCACAAGAAGCCAAGTACCCAGACAGCACACCAAATCCTTTGGATATCTACTGAACATCCCAATATCCACTGAATGTCCAGTCCATGGTGGCTATTTATTTTATATCCATGAGATGTAATTTATAGACATGCAAATGTCCATAAATAATAGTGATTATATATCAAATTATTAAAAAATTGCGCCATTATGCTCGCCATTGTGGCTAATAGTACCGTTCAGATATTTAAAATTAATTTTTTTAAGGTGTATTCAATATCCCATGGACATCCACTAAATATATCAAAGTCTAGGCGCGAACGCAAACCATCGTGGATATTCACTAGATGTTATTTCATGTTGCTTACTAAGTATAGATGGCGATACCACTTTCGCATCTACTCATGCTCGACCCGCCGTAATTCAGTTCGATCGAAATTTGTGTCCTAATCAGACTACATTAGAGACTGGAGTCGAGAATGTCCATTTATTGCTGAAAAGTCCTAATAAGGATGACTTTCTCCTTAGTGGGCAAAATCAAAGGCAGAGTGTTGAAAATATTTTTAATCTCTGCTATTTTCTTTCGACGTTATTCAATAATCATTGGTTACTTATGAACCTCTACTAAACATACCCATAAAATATTTTGCTGAATATCCGAATATCTTCTATATCCTGGGATATAGACGGACATTTGGTTGGATATCCATATTGGATATATTGAATATTCACAAAATATATTCTGTGGATATCTCTGGGATTTCTTGTATTGTCTGAAAGATACCCATTAGATATTTTGCTGGATATCCATTAGGATATCTTCTATATTCTGGATATAGACGGACATTTGGATATCCATATTAGATCCACGGAATATTTCTGATATCCTGTGGATATATTGGATATCCACTAAAGATATTCTGTGGATATCTCTGGGATTTGGTGTGTTGTCTGGGTAGTGACTTTAAGAAATCAGATATATCAAAGTATTCAAAAGATAACATTGATACTCCTGTTTCCGTAAAAACAAAACCACAATTGTTACAAATTGTTAAAATAAGAATATTCCAATACAGTATTATCCGAGAATACCGATCAAGGAGAAGCGATAGCTTGGTGTTTTCAGTGTACCGTTTTGTAACGCGCATGTGCGAAAATAAGTTGTGTATCACTCAAAATTATGTTATCTGTCAAAGTCAGTCCAAGTTGTGTTTAGTACGTGAGCAATGTTAAGTGATATTTTTTGGTGTCTGTTTTGTGTAGTAATAAGATGAAGATTTTTACACACTTAGGTATTCTAATGCAGATATAAAATGTGCCCAAAAAGTTATTAGGAAACTAAGAATTTTATCACATGCATAAATATTAAGTATAATGATTTACTGATTTTTGACATTTTATTTTTCGTATGTAGGTATTGTATTTTGTGAAATATATGTTTTTCTTCTTTTAAATAAATTTAATAAACAATGAACTGCAGATTTTATTTTATTTTGAAATTATATTTAAAAAAATATAATAAATTCGCGTGTTTCAATTAGGATTGGTCAAAGTGGGCGAAATCCCTTTATTATGGCTAAATTGTAAGTTACAATTACGTCAATATAAAGATGTTTTGCCCATTCATATTTAAATTTATTGAATGAATCATACTGGAGTTGATTTTGGAAATATTGGTGCATACTTAAATAAGTACCATTTCTAAAAATTCGTCTATGCACACAGTCCAATGGACGTGCACTTTAGATCTATTTGAGGGTCAGGACGTCCATATCCGGGCATCCAGTGTACGTCCGTTTATGCTAATTAAATTGACAGCTGAATATCGATACCCAGAGAACGTCTGTTTTTGGACTTAATTTTAAGTTTAGTAGTATTTTGACGTCCAGTGGACGTCCATCTTAGGTCATTATTTATTAAGCCTACCAGATAATACACATTTATATATACTTCTTTTTTTTAATATAACTGGTCATTAAAAATTGACAAATTGAATCCATTGCATTTCATTCTATCAGCGGAAGTTTGAAATCTTATTCAATTATAACTGTATGTAGTAAAAAGTTTTCAAGTGGTTCCTTGGTCGAGCTCGTCTAGCGATTGAAAGTGTAAAACGATAATGGATGTATCGTTAGTTCGATTCCTGCTCAGGTCAAGCGATTTTTAATAAAAAATAAATGGTGTATAGCGGTTTGCGAAAATAATAAACAAATTATTAATAATATGCTCTCCCTCAAGCATATGTTGTGTGTGGTTGCTGATTAGGGTTATTTGAAGTGTTAGTTCTAGGTCTGTGAGAACTATTTGTTATATTCTTGTTTTTCAAGTTTATTAGGTCTTTATATATAGCACACCCTTTATAGTTAGCTGAATGGTTGCCTTTGCATAAGGCACATGTTGCAGGTGTGTCGGTGTTTAAAGCAAGTAATACCCAATGTTCTAGTAAAACAAAATAAAATAATTCTTAAGAATATTTATAATAAATATAAAAATAACAATTCTGTAAATTATTATTGTACAGTATCTACAAAAATATTGGTTTAAAATAATTTATTAGAAATGCTAAGCCGTTTTTTCTGTTATATTTTTCCTCAATACATTATTGGTATATATACATAATTAATAAACTTTTTAAACCAGTTTAATGATATAAATGTTTAAATACCTGAAAAAGAAATTGATGGTGGTATTAAATACAAAATATCGACAATGGGTTACCTCTATATTATAATGATGTATATATATTCTATTTCTTGAAAATGAATGATAAGATAAATAAATCACTTTCCTATATAATGGCGTACTAATTGAATATTAAGTAATTTCACTGTATACTGGTTTCTTTTTAGTTCAAAAATATTAAATTAATCTATCGTGCGATACTAGATGCCGAGTTAGAAACCTTCTCTAATTTCTCAAAATGCTTCCTAGCGTTTCTAATATTAATCAAAGTGACTTCAGAAGGTATCTGGGGATCGCTCATGCAAACCATTACATAAGTATTACTAGTAAACATATCAATATAAGCTGCAAATGCTGAATTTCTTACTTCCATGCTTTGAAACTGAGCTGCTAATTTAGAACAAGATAGCTTAAATTGCTTTATTATATTTGAAACTTTCTCGAACCTATGCACATCTCTGTGCTGTTTTCTTTGACAATGTGAGATTACTAAAAAGGTAGCTTTTTCAAATAGTAAAACTTCATCTGCATCTACTATATTAGCGAAATGATGTAAGCTATTTTCTAACTCTTTAACATTAGGTATTAACATATAAACAATACTCGACCAAGCCCTGTATAAAGTCTCATCCCAAATAGAAGTCCTAAAACAAGTACAATCTAGTGGCAAAGATAATCTTGTGATATCAGCTTCTCTTTCCTTAAAAATTATATCTCTTTGATCTTCGGCTACTAAATCCATTTTATGTATCAAACAGAATATTTTAGCTTCAGGAGAATTCTGTAATATGGCTTCTAAACAAGATTGGTAATAGTGCATGTCTCTTTCAAGTTCTCTACTTTCAACATCAAATACATAGATCAAAACTTCAACATTTCGAAAGATGTTGTCTCTTTGAGAGGCGAAATAGTTTTCCATGAATGCTTCTTGACCACCACAGTCCCATAGATTGAGAACTAAGTTGCCGAGAAACCGTACATGGGAATGTTCCACATCAACTGAAAATAAAATTGTTTGTGTAGGTATAATAGTGTAAATAGATTTTAATTTTAATTTATGAGTTGAAGAATTTGTATAAAATTATTTTGAGTTACATAGGGTGTTAAGTTGTAATCGTCACTCCCTTTTAATAATTACAATATTTAATTAGTTCAAATATTCCAATATATTCTAATACTTTTTGAGCGCCCCTCGTATTTGGAATTATAGATATTATGTTGAAACGGGGAATTTGTCTCTGTCTAAGGCATTCGATAGCTCAACCAATGATGCGCTCTCTCTAAAAATCAATAATTACGGTCAGGTGTTGTGCGTGCGCCTGGCTTACTTTTCCACGTTCCATATTCGATCGACTCCTTTTTCTTTTTCAATCTAGCGGCGAGGTAGACAGGTTGATTTTAGTGCTTTGTGTGTCCGAATAACTAAGGTAATCTCGAATTTTTTTTTATAATGAAAAGTAGAAATTAATTTTGTGTGCATATTCTGCTGAAATTATCTTTGAGTTATCTCTTTTATTAATAGTGAGCTTTTCGCGTAATATAAATTCCAAAATGTACAAAATGGCTGCCATTAATTTTATATTTTTTCTTCTCAGTTATTTGAAAAGATCTTTCCATTCTTCATGTGTTTTAAATTAAATACTATTGCAACTCTCTAATATTGTTGTAAAATTTGAAATGTTTAATTTAAGAATGTTTAATTTAAATTGTAAGTTTTATTGCTGACCACATGTGTTGTTTTTTTTTTGAAGCAATGGAAAGATACGGTTTTTTTTTGTTGTAACTGACACGTTTTTTCTTTTTTAAAATTAAGGAACTGGCTCTGGATCTGTAACAAACTAAGGATCTGGATCTGTAACAAACTAAGAAATTGTCCTTTGTAATCTGGAACTGCAGAATCATTGTCAGCTAGTTGCCACTAGAGCTGCGGAATATCTTGGGCTGAGTTGCGTAAGGAACTGCAGTATTTTGAAGTCATCGTAGGCTCACCGCTCACCTACCATTAAGACACGGACCAGACCAGTTCGACCGTTGAAATCCGGAAACACAAGATAAGTGTCGGCCAGGACCACACACACAATTTTGAGTCACTAGTCAATTTTAATTTTAAACTCATCATTAGTAAAACGTAAACTGTAAAATGTGTTAAAATCAATTAATTTTATTTTCTTTTATATTATGTAATCAGTCATCAGTCAAATTCGAAATTTAAATTAAAGCCGATTAATTGTTTTGAAATTTTAGTTTTTTTCTTACTTTCAACTGACAAGTTAATGACAAATTTACTTTTATTGTCCATCTAAAGGTATGGCGCCCAAATTAATTTATTTGAATTCTTTTAAGTCTTTTTAATTAAAGACTTTGTCATTGACTTGAAGGTAAATTCTAAACGAATCCCACTGACCTATTTTGATCTGAGCTAGGCCTGAGGCTTGTAAGAATTCTTATTATAAGGATTTTTACAATGAGACCCAGGTAAGGGTTAGAAACGTATCATCTGGTGCAAAATATGTTTTTATAACGTAACTTTGTAAAAGTAACATTTTTTATAAAACGTTTATTAGTGAAACGTAACAAGGGTGATCGAACTAGTTAGCTGGATAGCTCCAGATTTTCGTCTGTATTGAAATAAATAGACAAATTTAATATTAAATAAAAATGAAAAAAGTGCGTGATACCGTGGTATATAAATTTTTTCATGGAAGATTATTGTTTTGAAACAATTCTGCATATAAAAGTGCATATTTAAATAGTATTTACTAATAAAAAAAAACTATAAAAAGTGTTATCTATAATTAGCTTATCTTCACTTCTTTTCGAACTTCGATTGCTAAAATATTTGGTAGTGGCTATTCGACCAAAGGTCCTTTTGAAGAATCTTAGTTGTGTCTAACATAGGAAAAAATGGTAAAAAAAACAATGCAAATGCAAAGTTTGTAAAAGTAACATAACAAAGACTCAAAACTCCCTAAGATGCAATGGAAATTCTAAAGAGTGGTTTCATAAAACGTTATCAAATGAAGATTATGAAATTTAAAGTGATAGAAAGTCTAATAAGAAATGGTTATGCTCATTGAGTATCATCGTCTTCGGAAAGTGACTCCAGTCAGGACGAAAGTGATTCGGAACCAGTATCTGAAAATACATCATTAATATCACCAAAACGGAGAAAGACCAAAAGGAATAGTAGTGTAAAGAAACACGAAGATAATGTCCTTAATAGCTCTAATCCTACTAATAAGGAGATTATGCAATTTCTTAAGAGAATGTTCTCTGAGTTGGAGCAATCTGTACAATTTAATTCAGAAGTGACGGATGACATTCAGAAAAAAATTAGAAAACATGTCTAAAGAAATGCAGTGTTAATAAAGGAACAACAAGTCATAAAAAATAGAGTTGAAGGACTTGAAAGGAAGATTGAGAAATTTAATCATTTTGCTGAAAAAGAAGAAGTAACTCAGAAGGGGAAAAATGTCATTATATTTGGTTTGTGCGGTGGAAATTCAGTTATAGATGATAATAAAAAGGTATTTAAAAAAATGAAGTTTAAAATTGAAGATAGTAAATATGGAATACAAACATTGCCAAGTAAGGAATCTAGAAAACCAGTACTAGTTAAATTGAAAGAAAAGTCAACCAGAGATAAATTATTGGAATTGAAGAAAACGATAAAATTAGATACACTGGAATGTGGAATTGATGGTGAGAGCAAAATAATATACATTAATGAAGATCTACCAAAAAGTGTCCGGATGTTGTATAATAAAGCCAAAATTCTTAAAAACCATGGCTATAGATTTGTATGGTATAAGAATGGGACTGTGTATGCTAGAAAAGATGAAGGGAATAGGTTTATAATAATAAAACATTCCCGATAAATCGATTCTATTATAGACTCCTAATATTTTATATTTTTGTCATTAATTTGTTCTGTAGAAGTTAGAATGTAATATTTTATTTCAAATTCTAAAAAAAAAATAATAATAGCTTTGTTCGCGGTAACAATCCTGAACTGATTCAGAATTACTAATTCATACTTTGAGCGCATGCCCGAATAATTATCAATTCTGAATTTTTACCGCGCGCGCAATCCCTATTATATCTCGGTATTTCAGGTATAGACAAGCGGTTCAAAACCAATAATTATTTTACCGCGAACGCAGGATAGAACCAATAGTTCAGTTCTTTTTGTTCCACAAACGCTTTTTAACTACTGCGCCTGCGAAATCGTTACTGTTAGTAATAATTCGGTTCAGGATACTTACCGCGAACAAAGCTATTGTTAATGCTGCCGTGTTAATTCAAATGGTCGTAACTGCAATTTTCCTTGAAATAAAGATACGACCACTACGCCTGACAACAATGAATTTTTTGTTTATCTCTATAATTTTCATGGATACATGTTCTATAAAATCCAAGATTTAACGCTTAGAAATTTGGGCGTAAGTGAGTTTTCTTGAAAAATCGATTTTTCTCACGTACATATAAAAACAGATACGGCCATTTGAATTAACACGGCAGAATGTACAGTCCTTGATCCCTGTTGTTTATGATATCAAATGTCTATTACATAAATATGACCTGGATGTTTTAGGTATAACAGAAACGTGGTTGAACTATGAAGTGGCTAATGATATTATTAAGGTAAAAGGTTATGAATTTTTGAGAATTGATAGGGGTAATAATAAGAGAGGGGGAGGTGTAGGAATATTTATTAAATTAATCATAAAGGCAAGTATTGTTGTCGAATGCTCTGTTGTAAGAAAAGAACTTGAGCAAAATATGGATCTCTTTCAAAATAGGAAATATCAATTTTTCTTGTGGGGGTAGTTTATAGACCTCCTAGTAATAATGCTAGAGATGCAATTCATGTATTAGAAGAATCAACAGCTTTTATGCTACCTAGGTGTGATGAAGTAATACTAATGGGTGATATGAATTTAGATTTACTAAAATTTAATAACACAACAGATATTTTTAGTGACATGTTAGAATCTTTCGGTCTAAGCCAACTGGTAAATAAACCCACGCGATTAACAAAAACATCATCCACTCTACTGGATATTGTCTATATTACTAACCCTGATTTAATTATAAATGATGTTAAGCATGTTGATCTACATTCTGTTACTGATTATCAACTTACATTTTGCAACTTGATTACAAAAGTACCCAAGAAAAACGAGAAGTTTAAATGTTTTAGAAATTATAAGAATTTTAATATATACCAGGTGTTCTAAATTAAAGCGTTACAGCTATATACAGCTTTTTATAAAAAAAAAAAAACGTTTCAGACGAAAGTTTTATAGTTTTGTAGGGAAAAACTTTTGGCTAAAATCGTTTTTTATAGCTAACCATAATATTGCCAACTTTTTTTCGCGCAGCAACATTTTCAAGCAACTATTACTCAAAAAGTAAAAGTCCAATAAAAAAAATATTTCCCTCAAAAGTTTCTTATTTTTTTATGTACTTTAAGAATATGTAAGAAAAAATGGGATTCCCATTTAAAAAAACAAAGTTCACCTCGATATGGCCATACTATGGTCAGCTATAAAAAAATGATTTTAGCCAAAATGTTTCCCCCAAAAAACTATAAAACTTTTGTCTGAAACTTTTTTTTCTAAAATGCATATTTTCGGCGGTATTTAACTATAACACTTTAATTTGAACACCCGGTATATATATAATTTTAATAATGATTTAATTCCCTAAATTGGAATCAAATTTTTTATTCCACTGAGATTGATAGGAAAGTTGATATATTAACTAATAATATTAAATATTTGTTTGATCAACATGCTCCATATCGCAGAGTACAAATCATGAAACCAAAAGCAGATAGATTACATAAACTAAAGGGAGATATAAACAAGTTACTGGGTAAATTTAAGCGGACAAGAGATCCAGATGATTGGGATGAATATAAGCGAGTAAGAAACTTTGTTACAATGACTGTAAGATATGAGAAGCGCGCATATCTAGATCAACTAAACAGACTTGGTAATAGTAGGGACACATGGCGAGCTTTGAAACAGCTAAATGTGTATTCTAGTAAAAATGATGTAGATATTCCAAAAGACATAAGTGATCTCGATTCGATAAATAATTATTTTGTGGACTCAGTTTTAGATTTGGGATGTGAAATAGATCCTGAGTTAGTTAATTATTATAATACACATAGAGTCTCAAATGGTCCGAGTTTCAATTTACAAACTGGTTTGGAAAAGAATGTTTTAAATGCAATAGGAAGTATTAAATCTAATTCAGCAGGTTTGGATGGTATAACTTTAGATATGATAAAACTTTATTGTCCACATATTTTGCCTCATTTAACACACATTTACAACTGTTGTTTGACAGAAGGTTATTTTCCTATTAATTGGAGAGTTGCATGCATAGTCCCTTTGCCTAAAGTAACAAATCCTAAAGAAATCAATTAGTTAAGACCTATTAGTAAGTTGTCAGTCTTATCCAAAATTTTGGAAAAATTAATTTGTTCACAATGGTACAATATTTATCAGATCACAATTTATTTGCCGAAAACCAATCTGGGTTTAGAACTTCACATAGTACGGGAACTGCACTAACTAAAATGCTGAATGACATAATACAGGCAGTGGATAAGGAGAAAATTACTACACTAATTTTGTTGGATTACAGTAAGGCATTTGATACCTTAGGCAGAGAATTACTTTTAGCCAAACTGAATTATTATGGTTATTCTGCAGGATTGTTAAAACTATCGCATAGATGCCAATATGTGATTATAGACAATAATGAATCTAGCTCAAGAATGATTGACAAAGGTGTGCCACAGTGCTCAATTCTTGGACCTCTTCTTTATCTTATACATACAATTTATCTTAACAATAATGCTATAAACTGTACAATAGATCAATTTGCTGATGATACTCAAATTTACAAGTTTCTTAGTTAATGAACTGGGTAATGCTCGCTTAGAGATAAATCAAACTCTCTAATATATTCGAGTATTTAGTTAAACATGGGCTAAAAATAAATCTGGCAAAAACTCAAGCAATATGCTTTGGTAATGTTACCAAAGTTATAAAAGATAATTTGAATATCAAAATTGATAATGTGGTAGTTAAGCCATGTGACTTAGTCAAAAGTTTGGGAATTTATATTGACACTAAATTGAGATTTAAGGAACAAGTTAGATCCATTGTCCAAAAATGTTATTGCTCTTTAAAAATCTATATTGAAGCAGATCTTTTTTGAATGCATCTCTAAAAATACAACTCTGAGATGTTAATATTAAGTCATACCAATTATGCTGATTTTGTTTATGGGCCATGTTTAGATGTAGACCCATCGGCGAGGCTACAGAGAATTCAAAACTCGTGCATTAGGCTCATTTTTACATTAACATCTAGAGATCATGTTTCAAACAAATTGAAAGAATTGTGGTGGCTTAATATGTTTAATGGACGAAAACTTCATATGGCTTCCTTTGTACACAAACTGCTGAGAAATAATAATCCAACATACCTTAGGAAAAAATTGACATTTAGCTCGAATGTTCATAACCAAAATACTAGCCTTCTTGTTATACCTAAACCTAGAACAACTCTCTACAAGAGATCTTTCTTATACAATGCAGTCACAATATATAACTCTCTATCTGATCAATGTAAAAATAAATCTCTAGAAATCTTTAAAAAATTACTGAAAAAATTTCTTTTGTTTTAAAGTTTGTGTTTATGTATTGTTAATTTTCTTATTGCATGTGTCTATATAAAATGTATATTAAATAATTTAAATCTAAATAACAATGTAAATTTGTATTATATGAAATGTTTGTATTTGGTACTCGGTTGAGTGGAACAGCTATGCTGGACTCCGCTGAAGCTTATTAAAATAAAGACGTTTTTATTATTATTTTTAAAATAAATTTAAATAAAAACTTTTTAAACAAGAAACTTCCATAACTTTTGCACTTATATGATTGATTTATGCTTTGTTTATACTATCCCCTTTCCAATCACACATTTTTAGCAACATATTATCTTAGGAGAAGCCATTAAATAATTTGAAAATGGCAACTGCATAGACTTCAATGGCCTGAACACAGTTCAAAGTGAAATGTAAGTCTCACATAACACATTACTGTAGATGTTTAGAACCAGCTCAAACTACAAGTTTGCCATTTTCTGTAATATTGATTTTTATATTGTTTAATAAACAAACATAGGAAATAACAATTACATACATACATACATGGTACAAGTATAAAGGATGTTGATTAGTGATAACAATAGATTAATCATTCAGAAAAAACATTGCAAAGTCTGGTTTTGTTAGAGTTGTTTATTTCACTGAATGTATAATTTGAATAACCTTACTTGTTGCTCCTAACCTCCTGGTGTCTCTGGCTATGTAATTTGCAAAAATAATGGACCTCATGCTGGTTTTCCCAGAGCCACTTTTGCCCATAAGTAACACCTAGAAATTAAAGTAACAGTACAAGTCTTCATAAACATGAATTGTATTTATATTTATTAAAGATAAAAAAAACTGATTTAATTATATTAATTTCTTATTAAATTAATAAAAGACTAATAAATAAAGTTCTAGACAAACAATATAGTAAAAATTAACTTTAAAAGTTAATATATTGTATATTTATTTATTGTAAAATAATTTATTTGCTAGATAAAAAACCAACACAATATTGAGATATTAAGCAATCTTTTAAATTATTCTGCAACTGCAAATACATATTAGTTATAAACAAGTGTTTTACCTTTTTCTTCATTTCGCAGGATTTTTAAATGGACACTTTTTATGGTATATCTAAATTGATCTAAATAATCAGTAAAAAAATATTTTTACTTCGCAAAATCAATTTATATTTATCTGGCAGTTGACAGCTGATTTTGAATCATGACAGATGTCTATTTGTAGAAAGCCTTGTATAGCATTAGGTAAGCAGCTAAGGAAAGTAATTACTGAAATACGGCTTGTTTGCGTCCCCTGCATATACAGGGTGTTTACTAACTACGGAACGAAACTGCAGAGGATGATTCCTTAGGTTGTTTTAAGAAAAAAAGATCCGCTGAACATATATTTACGTCCGAAATTGATTCGTTTCTGAGATACAGATGTCCTTGTTCGTAAATGTTAGGCTTTCATCCGTGCCACGACTAAAATTAATCACGAGTTTTATTGATATTTAACAGGAGATTGTTTTTAAACCAATGTACTAATGTATTTAATGTGGAATTTAGTTTTCCCTTGCATAAATCAAGTGTTACTTCACTAAAAATCAATGAGGTGTCATCGGCATCCTAGCAAACACACACTAATGGCCCAACATTGGCACAATACATGTGAACAGTACTTGAAGTGTCGGCACAGCATTTGTGCCAGATTACACTGTCGGGATCCCCGCGTCCAGGTGGCCGACGATTTTCAGGCATACAATTCCCCGTCACTTGTAAATGCTGGAAAAGTGATTTAAAACCAAACAAGATTATTAAGAATTTGGTACTGGAAAGGACTCGTTAAGATATTTTGTATTTTTTCTTCTACAGTAAACTTAGATTTGTTCACACAAACACTGTTTTTACATTATATCGATATTTGCTATAATAAAGCAAAACATTAGTTATGTGTAAACCAATCTTGACTTGCAGGTTTTTAGGTTTAATTAATATTTGAATAATAAACATAATCAAAAAGAATAAATTTATTTAAAAAAAAACATACAAATCCAATATTTAAATAATATATGAAGTAGCTGAGACTATCGGGCTGCTACATAATCCAAAGATAGCATTGCGCCCCAGACGTAATAAAGAATGTGATATCTAAAACAAAAAACACACAGTATAAGTATAAAAATAAACATGCATGTGATGTTTCAATGACTTTTTATGAGACATCTTTTTCCTACTATGTTTTTTATTATATAAAGAAAGTGTAACCTAGTAAACCGTATGGAGTCTATATGGGAATACAATAAATATCAACTAAAACTAAGTATTTGGGACCAAACACTATCCTAATGGGATAGTGTATGAGTAAATAACAAAAATTTACATCAATGATATAGAAAAAGATAATCTTCACGTAGATAACTTCATAATCGAATATGTTAAAATTTTAAAGTGTTGAAAATAAATAAAACCTTTACACCTTTAATAAAACTACTACTTTTTAGTTTTAATTATCATATAGTGAGCATCATAAGTCTTACCCCCCTAACTAACTCGTTACTGGAGTCTTGTTAGGAAAATCGCCGAGACAGGTCGATTTTTGATTTCTACAATGTACATGGGAGTTTTATTCTCTATTCAACCGTGCAAAAAATTTTGAAATTTGCTTCATTACGTGTTGATTTATTAATGTTTAAAAATAACAAAACCTCATAAAATAGGAAAGCAACTAAACTAAAAGTGACCTTCTAATGGCAAAAAGTCTTACTTCACGTCTGAACCAAAACCGAAATCATGCAGGGCCGAATTTTAATTCTAACGATGAGTGCGCTACGTTAATTTCCGTTATTCTGAAACAACAATTAGTCGAGAATTAATAAAGCAAATTTCAAATTTTTTTACATGGTTGAATAGAGAATAAAACCCTCTTTCAAATGAGCTATCACTCACCACCCCATGCCATTTAAATTTTTCAAAAGGGTTGCTCCCCTCCAGTAAGGGATGAAATTAAGGGTAAACTATTCATACAAAAAATATACATTGTAGAAATCAAAAATCGACGTGTCTCAGCGATTTTCCTAACAAGACTCCAGTAACGAGTTAGATAGGGGGGTAAGACTTATGGTGCTCACTGTATAGAATTTCAAAACAAATCAAAATAAAATAGATATACAATATTAGCAGATTAGCTATGTACCTGTATTTCACGAAATAAGTAAATAAATAAAATAAAAAAACTTGAAACAGAAACATTTTTATTAATTTTAAAAAGATAATACATAATTTATTTACTCTTCAGCGGATCTCTGCACTTTAATTTTCTACCTCTTCTATTCAAAATTATTTCCGTGCCCACACAATCCTCATAAAAAACTCCAGTTTCTCCATTAGATTAAAAAAAAAAATTATCAAAATATATTTTTTCAATAAAAAGAGGATTTTCATCTCCTACATAAACTATAAAATGGCACATTCTTCTTCGTGGGATAGCGAGTTGTCCATGAATCTAAAAACATAATAATTTTTAATTTGTTAGAAAATATAGCTTTCATTAAATTACTTTGAAATGTAGTCAGAAATCTCACCTGATAATAGTAATTGTGGTTTTCTTTTAAATGAATTTCACCATTTTAAATTCTTAAACAGGGAACCATTTTTTTCTCTACGGCCTCTCTCAATGAAACATTGGCTGTGGCTAATTTTAAAAAACATTTAACCTCGACAAGTTCATCAGAATTAATTAAACCTAAAAAATAGAAAAGTTATTGTTATAATACGTAAATAATTATCGCTTACCATCTGGGTACTTATTCTTGAATATCAGGGAGTAGAAATTTTGAGGGAAGAATGAGACAAAAATACAAATTTTGTGAGTTGCAGATAAAGAGGAAAAACCAGTTTTCTACTCCCTCAAATTTAAGAATAGCTACTCAGGTGATGCACCTAGGAACCCATATCGCACATCAACAAATAACCCTGATGGTATAACTGTTCTGCCAGTTTCTTCTTGAAATTTATTTATAGCCACACCTTCGTTTTGTATACCGTACTCAATTGCTGGGGTAGTTATTTTTTTTACCAAACAATCGCATGGAGTACGGGCACTCCTTCTGGTAATTTCCCCAAAATTAGAAGCCGTTAGCCGAAATCTTCTTCCCTATAAGTTTCTTGGGTTGCTGAACTGTCCTAGTTTCTTCTGATATTTGTTGTTGTTGCTTACTCGTACCTAAAAATATTTAAATATAAAATCATGTAAAAAGTAAAAACGTAATATTTTAATTTTATAACGCCCCTCATTATTTACCCATTTTCTTAGAAAATTGGGTGCTTCTCTATTAAAGCATTGCTTCCAAATTTTGATGTGCCAATTAACTCCATTATTGTAACGAAGATCGCTCAAAACACACCTACTTTGGAAACCGTTTCTTTGAATGAGATTTAATCGTTTTCCCATATTGAAGCGAGCCATAATATTCACAAATGATTCTGCTTTGTTGGTTGTTTTATTAGCTAAAAGAAGGTGTGCTTTTGTTAAAAGTAAATTTAATGCTGCGTATACATGGTGGTGAGCTCCTAATGATGTGAATTTAGAATGTTTGTTAATATCGTTGTTAACATCGCAAATTTCTATTCGGCAGTTAACATGATTACCAAAAACAAGTGTTACACTATTTCTTAAATCTTGTTTAAGTTGTGCAACGCTTCCACCTTTATTAGTGTAAACCGCGAATTGTACTGCCTTTACTAATTTTTGTATGGAGGAGCAGACGTGCAAAACGCAGTTTGTCCGAAATTTCAGTTTTTTAACTATAGATGGCGATACAATATTGAATTGAATATCTATCGTTTCATAAAATCTTGGATGTACAAATCGCATTATATCCTGCTTAAAATGTATTGTGAAAACCACTTGGACATGCAAAATGCATTAGTCCATCAAGATCTCCGTAACTAAGGCCATTTCCAAGAACCAATTTTTTGCCATTCCTGAAAATTTACAATTTTGGACAAACTGCGTTTTGCATGTCTGCTCCTCATATCATCTGTTAAATATTTCCTTGCCTAAAGAAACGGTTCTAGTGTTCTTCTTTTGTTGTAAAGATGTTTGCTATAATTTTTAATGCAATGATTTGTGCATTCCGACTTTGTTACCTGAAATTAAAAATACAATAACGTAAACCAGTTTAACTAATATCTGTTAAACTGCTGTGTACCTACCTCTACACGGAAAAATTGTTTATTATTCACCACTCAATATGAAATGTTCAAGAATCAAATCGTTTTTTATACAACTCCCCCTACTACCTTTCAACGTAATGGAAATAAATCAAAATATTAAAAATGTAATCTTTTGTTACTGTGATGTTCATAATTATCTTCTCTAATTAGAATAAAACTCACTTTTCTTAGAATGCAGGAAGTCAAAATTAAATTATTTTTAGTTCTTAATACTTTAATAAGATTTACCACCTTAATCTATGAACATTATGAATTTTAAAATCAAATAACTACTTCTTTGATTCTCTAAGTTATGATAAGTATTATAATAATAAATTGTCTAGACTTAGGTACTTAATACCTACTTACGGAAAGTAAAATCATTTTAATTTAATCCCAGTATATTTTAAATTTGTATCTTATGTTTCTTATATTGTAAAACAATGAAAATGACAGCAATTTGTTTTTCTATCTTATTGAGTTAAAAATTCATGTAAAATTAATATAAGAGGTAAATATTTATTTCCACAGGTGTCAACGATATACGCCAGCCATCAAATACTATTGGATTTAAACCCGAATCGCCGAATCCAAAAGTCCTAAGATCTGCCCATTCCTTTATTAATGGTATTAATTTATATACATCATTTTTATAAATCTATATATTTCGTTCTCAGCTAAAGCAAAAATCGGTCATTTAATTATAGGTGATTATAATAATAGGGGAGCCCAAGCGGGGATTTCGGGATTTACTAAAGCGCGGCAGATTAATATACAGGGGGATACCTTGTATCCAGTTAAGTACCTCCACCAAATATGAGCCCCATATGTAAGGCCGCCCGTGAAGGATAAAGGATCAGATTAGTAAAAAAAAATTGATAATCAGAAATTTTCGATCGCGTCAGATTAAGGTAGGGTGAGTTAATTACATGCTAAAAAGTGTATATTCCACTAATCTGACAATTTGAGAGTGACGTAAAGAAAGGGGAGGGCAGCAAAGTTGTAAGAAAAAAACGTCATCTCGACATTCTCGAGCGTAGCTAAATTTTTTTTAATTTGGAAGGAAATAATTCAAGGATAACGAAAAGTATATAATCTGACGATTTCCGCAAGCCGAAATAACAAATATTCGTCGATAAAGTTTAATGTGTGCAGCTACGTGATGCCTATATTTCGCTCTCCGCCTTTCTACTATTTCTATCAGAACTTCTGATACTGACATAGTGGTTCATCATGTTAGCGAATATGGAACACCTGCAAGCAAGAGTAGAAGTTTGGATGGATCTTGGAGTTAGCAATGCACGCTCTATACAAAAAATTAGACCCACAAATTTCAAAGGCGCTTCCAGCTTTGCATGCGTTCACTGGTTGCGATTTCAACACAGTATTGTACCGACGATGGAAAAAAACCTTTGCATTTTCTGATGAATTCATAAATTTTCCAAGTAGCATTTCTGGATTTGGGATCAAAGGAGCATAATGTGCAGGATTTACTTGCCACTTGTATGGGTTGAAAAAGTTAGACGATGTCAATCAAGCCAGGATTGTCATCTTCAATAAGACGTACAAGGGAAAAGACAAATCACAACCCTTCTCCTTGAGTGTCCGGAATTACGATGCGTGCAATTTGCCACCCTGTGAATCGGAGTTACTCCAGCAAGTATTACGCACAAGATTCAACTAAGTTCAATGATTTAAAATTTTGTTTTTCTTTTTTTTTGTCAGATTAGGCGAATCCCTCTATATAATCGTCAGATTATGATACAGCACGTCTAGGACATAAAGATGAACCATATATATCTTAATCTGACGCGCTTGAGTATTTCAAAATGGCGATATATTTTTTTCACATTATAATAATGGCCGCGAGTTTGCGTCACATCGAAATCGTCAGATTATTGAATGAGAGCTTTTTTTTGGTTCACTTAACACCCTCTTTGAAAATCTGACGCGCTTGATTAATTTTTTTTTTCATTTTCAACCCTTACGCACAACCACCCGCATCATGCAAAAGATCAGATTAACATACGTACATTATTAAAAGTACGTAAGATATTGATGCTATCAATATCTGACGCGCTCGAGTATGTCCATGCAACAGTATTTTTTTACATATTTAAAAATCTATAGCCGCTTCCCCCACCAATGAAAAGGTATATATTATATGAAATTTTTTTCTTCTTATCATCTAAGCTTTCCAACCCAATAGGTCTCTATGACGCTCGAGTAAATCCCCATTTAGCATCGTGGGCTCCTCTGCTATAAATTTTCTCTGTATTTTAAAAAATAACATTTATCTTTTTTTGAAAACATGGATCTAGCAATCAGTATGTAGGTATATAGAATTAATAAATACAAATAAAAAACTCGTTTTTAAAAATTAATTACGTAATTACTTATTGCTTTGTAATTACTATTTAAATAAAATAAATAATATAACTATATTATTTGTTTTTGGTACTAAAATATTGATCTTCCCTCGTTTCCGTATTCAGATAGAAATGAATCTACGCTAAGAACTCCGTGAGTAGAAAATAACAAATTCAACGGATCGATAATTCATTTTGGGGCGTAGATTATTTTATCAAATATTTGACTACAGGCACTACTGGTTAGACAGTCCCGCAGTACAGAATTCGACCGCAAATCCTTTGGAGCCTCTGTCCTTAATGTGCACTGGTTCTTATTATCATAGATATACAGTATTAATTGTAAAATACATAAAGAGTACATTGTAAGAATTTTATATTTCTTAGAGTTCAGCAGCTTGCTAATGGATGAGCTCTATCCATACATCATACAATTTTCTTCTGCATGATGAATGTTCTATCTATATGTGAGGAGGAACCCCACACTAACAAGCCATACTGTAACTGAGACTGTACCCTTCTGAAATATAATATTCGCAAGATATTAATGGAAACTTTATCCCTAAGACTTCTCAAAATAAAGAAGGTGCTACTCAGCTTTGAGCATAGCTTATTAATATGAAGCTCCCACGTTAGCTTAGGAACAAGAGTTACACCTAGAAATTTCATTGATTACTTTCTATTGATTTTCCAGAAAGTTTAATTAGCCAAATCTTCGTCAGGAGTAATATTTTTAGGTAGAAACCTCATATATAAGGTTTTCTCGCAATTTAGCTGAAGGCCATTTTTCTCACAATATCCCTGACATTCCAATGTGACTTATTTCCATTTTCTACTAGGGTATTGACACATTTCTCAGACAGTATCATATTGACATCCGCATAAAAAACAGCTTTATCTGATGTTTCACAAGTGTTTGAAATGTCGTTTATAAAAATTATAAAGAATATTGGCCCAAGCAATGTGCCTTGGGGAACGCCTAATGCATTACTCTTGCATTCAGATCAAGCCCCATCAATAGCTGTTGTCTGATACCGATCCGCCAAATATGAGACTACCCAGTCATGTAGCTTTCCTCGCAATGTATTTGTAATTGTTTGGTTGCATAGCGGACATATTATATTTGTCATTTTTTTTAGCATCGAAACTTCGAGAAATTTTTCACAAGTTGGCAACTGTGTTAGCTTTTACATGCAGTTGTCTTTCACAAACCGTTGAAATATTAAAAAAATCAATAACGAAAAATGCTACAAACTTGAAATTCAAGCTCTATAAAGGAACAAAGCTTTATTTTGAAAAAAAAATATTGAAAATTGAAATTAAAAAAAAAATGATATTAACTTGAAATTTTTATCAAAAATCAAGCTCTATATGGGGAAGATTTTGAAGAAAATCTCATTAAAATTGGGAGTTTAAGGGGGGGGGGGGGTTGAAATGAAAAAAATCAAAATCAAAAATGATGTCTACATGAAATGTTTTGTAAAAATCAAGCTCTTTGAACAAATGAAGCCTATAATGGTTCTGAATAAAAATGGAGGACCAAGGGGGGGTTGGAATATATATAAAAATAGAAATCAAAAACCAAAAGCGATGTCAACATGAAATTTTTAGTAAAAAACAAGTTCCATAGGGGAATAAAGCCTTTTGATTTTGAAAAAATCTAAATAAAAATGAAAAATATTGAAATCATCTTAACTCTGAAACAAAAAAGATGACAAATTAAAATCTTAAGGAAAAATCAAGCTTTATAAGAGTTCATTTTAAAAAAATCTGATTGAAAATGCGTGTTAAGGGGGGTATGTTAAACTGTGAAGAGTATAATATAAAATGCCAAGAATTATATCTTCGTTCTAATTTATTTTATTAAATATTCCTATCACTACTTAACTGCTTTTCACTCTCATTGGGAAAATAACTATACCGAACCTATATAGATAATATATAATAAAACTCTTGAAAATACTTATATTTCGCTTATCTGTCTAACACATAAGGCAGTTTTTTTTTTTATAAAATAAATGTGGTAATTTTTTTATACAAAAGTCTTATAGTATAATACATAAAATAAACAAGACAAATTATATATTTTTATTTGCCATTACTCTATTTAAGATCAAAAAATATATATCACTTGTTGCAGTCAAAATCTTTGAGACTGTTCTAATTAAAATGAATATTCCGATCATTCATATTTTTTTATGAATCAAATATATTTTTTTAAATTGTTGAAAAACTTTATTGTATACATCTAATCAAAGGTAATATTCCTAGTCTCAAGATTTCAGTACAAGATAGCGAAATTGTGAAATTCCCAATTAGATTTTTGAGTTCTACTTTATTTCTCATAGTAATAATCATGAAAACGTTAACTGCAGTTTTAGAATATATTTAGGTTTAAAGTGAGTGATTCATTTTTTAAACCCAAAAAGAGCACTTAGCCGATACTTTTTCTATTTACATTATCTTAAAATATTGCAATCCGACATGTTACAAGCTATTTAAAAAAAAAAAATAAAAAAAAAACAAAAACGTTTAAAATTTAAAGTATCACCTGCAGAACTTAAAGTAAAATAAATAAAAACATGTCTACTCAAATCTTAAGGTAGTAATAGATCATTTTCCATGCAACCATCTTCAGTATGTTCTTCCAATTTTTGCATCATAGTCTTTTTAAATTTTTCAATAAGAGCTTCTCTAGGGGTGATGTCTTGTATCCTCGATGGATATGAAGTTGATTGCCGGACAGGTGTATCTCCTACATGACTAGCTTTCACATTTTTATCCAAGATTTGTTCATATAAAATCTAAAAAAGTGTATTTAGTAATTTAATAAGCATATTAAAGTTATAAATTTGCCTGAATGTATACAAGGTGTAGCTAAAAAAACCGTATTAGTGCTATAATAGTAATTTGTGGAACAAGAGTGGATATGATGGCCATATCGCACAAAGACGAAATTTGGGCCCGACGCCGTAGGCGGAGTGCTTAAGAGTCTGAGTGCGATATGGACAATTCACTCGAGTTGTACAGTATATTTTTTCTACGACCCACTAACATAAATCTACAAATTAAAAAAATATATTTTAGGTTATTAAGACAAAATGACTAATTTTAAAATAATTTATGAATTTTACTGATTTTTGAAATAATATAAATTTAAAAAAAAAGTCGAGTCTCTACAGCCAGTTTTACGATTTTTTAACCAACTTCAAAAAAGAAGGAGGTTCTCAATTCGTCGCGATATTTTTTTATGTATGTTCAGCGATAATTCTTCAACACGGTGTCCGATATCAATAATTTGGTCAAAATATAATAATTAGGTCCGTGAGAAAATCCTCAAACTCTTCATTTTTTATGTATGTTTAGCGATAATGCTTTACCACCTTGTCCGATTTATGGATTTCGATGTATGTAAAAAAAAAAAAAATATCGCGACGAATTGAGAACCTCCTCCTTTTTTGAAGTCGGTTAAAAATAATGTATGTTTGAAAACTTATTTAAATAAAGCTAAAAATGTTTACAAAAGAAATCCCGTTTATATTTGATACACCCTCGTAATGGTAGTTAGATGTCCAAAATATGAACTGTGGTTGGTGGATTTCATTTTTTCGCAGTGTTCTCACTACCTAGAATGGATATGAAATATATTCGTTCAGTTGAACGCAATGACATACTTTTTCGTTTTGTAGTCTGTGGGTAGATAAGCTAATATCAATGTGGGTGTAGAAAAATAATTTTTCTTATTTTGACATATAAAGTAATATATTTTGTGATTGCAGCAAGTGTCAAAACGATCTACTTTATGCAACCAGTTGCATAAAGTATAACATTATGCAACTGATTACAAAAAGTTGATTATGTCACCAGTAACGAAATGAAAATAAATAAAAATGCATCCTTTTTTGGTTTTTAAATCAAAAACTCGAAAAAAATCGAGAAATGGAAAATTCAAAAATGGAGTAAATAGAAAATTCGAAAAACAAAAAAATTGAAAAATCGAAAAAAGGTAATGAATAGTGACATTTCAAATGTGACAATTTGACATTACGTTTAACAACAAAAAAGAAAACAAAAAATTAAAGCTGTAAAATGCGTTTTATTTTTTAAATAATTAAACATCATTATTGAAAACTGCCCAGAAATGTTGAGGGTAAAATTTTGACGCACTCCTTTAAGGATAACGGATAAAATAATTTTTTTTTCAAATTTCCCGCGGGTAATGTCAAAAATCAGATCGTCAACACTGCACATGTCTTATTTTTATTATTATCGTAGGGCAATCAAATACAACAATTTTCTGAAATATTTGTTTGGAAGTACCTACAAAAGAATGATGGTGAATCATTTTTTAACAAAACATAATTTTCTAAATAATCAAGTCAAAATTAGAAAAAATCTTGTATGTAACACATTACGAAATGCCGTTTTGTGTAACTCGTTCATTTAGCGGGAACTCGCTCCGCTGGTGTCGTAAATATTTACTCGTTATACAAAATAAGGCATTTCGTAACTGGTTATATAAATAGCTATTATGATTTTCTTTTACAATTTTACCATTATCGGCGATTATCGCCTTCAATATATTTCCCTACACGATCCCTACAGCCACAGAAGTAGAAAAAAATCAGAATATTCTCTCCGCTTGTCGGCGCCAGCCTGAAATTGAGGCGAATCGGCCATTACTTCAGAGTTTTGAGAGTAACCCAGTGTCGACACTGCAAAAAAATGAAATCTACCAATCACAGTTCATATTGTGGCCACCCGGCTACTATTATTTTTTAAATTTTATATGAGTGACAATTCTGTCAAAGTAATTTTTAAGATATTGAAATTTAATATAAGTAAAAGTATGTTATTTTATTGTAGAATCGATAAATAACAGCATTTCTTTTTATTTTGTCCACATTTTCAAATAAATCTTAAATTTTAATCAAACTAAATTAATTACTAGTATTAAAACTAAAATCGTAAGTGTGGAGATGGAGGCGAGGACACGTGGCTTGTCTTCCATGCGAGAGGTCTAGGTCCAAATCTTAGCTGGAGACTAATTAAATTAAACCTTTTTTTCATGTTTATTTTATTTTATAAATTAGTAAAAGTCATAAATTACTTTAAAATTAGTTATTTTTTCTTAAAAATCTAAAATATTTTTTTTAAATTTGTAGACTTTCGTTAGTGGGTCATAAAAAATATACTGTTCAACTCGAGTGGATTGTCCACATCCACTCTTGTTGCACAAACTACTAAACTCGTTCGACTTTGACTTTCGCATCGTTATTATACCGTCTCGCAAACAAATGCATCTAGCAAATGTGGTTTGGGATAAGGCATTGACTTTTCAAACCAGAAGTTGTGTAGATTCAGGTCTCACTGTAATCATTTTCGGTTTCATTTTTTTTATAGATACTGTTTAATTTTATTAGAGCAATATTGAGATTTATATTTTATACTAGTTTTATATTCACATTTGTCTTATGTTCACAATGTGTCTTGTATTCAAATTTGTCAATGAATCGGAAAAGAAAAAATTACCTGCGTACGTGTTAAGTTAAATGTGTGTTACGCTGAAACCTTTTCTCCAAAATTTAATTTAGTTTTTTCTGAACATAAAAAAAATTGTCAAAATAATCTAAACGTTGCTAATTTTTTTAACTAAATCAAATTTTGGAAAAGTGGCTCCAGAGAAACACCACAGATTTAACATACACGTAAATATTATTTGCCAGAAGCTTGCATGGTATAGGTAATTATTTCGTAGAGCTGCGTACAGACCACGCCAACGAAGGCCAATGAACGGCATTCGCCATTGGTTCCTAAACATTCGTTGGCCGTCGTTAATATACAGGGTGGCTCACGCTCAACGGGACGGAGCTTTATGGGAAAACGACCAAAGATATAAAAAATTCGTTTGGGAGGAATACGTAGGTTACAGACGGCTACAATTTAAAATTTGTTAGATGTATTCAGGATGTCCCACATAAGAAAAAAAAATTAGTTCATTAAAAATTATTCAAACAAGAGTAAACAATTAATTTCTGGGAGACTTTTTTTCCTTAAAAATTCAAATAAATCGAAAACTAATAATAATAGTGAACCTTTAGTTAACTGACATTATTTTTGATGTAGTTTTTAATTCTAAAATAAAAAACAGGGTGTTCCATTAAAAATAATTTAACTTTGTATATTTCCTCTTATGTGGGACATCCTGTATACATCTAACAAATTTTAAATTGTAGCCGTCTGTAACCTACGTATTCCTCCCAAACGAATTTTTTATATCTTTGATCGTTTTCCCATAAAGCTCCATCCCGTTGAGCGTGAGCCACCCTGTATATGCATTTGTTGTTCGATCAAATGTTTGTTAGGGCACCTATCCGGATTAAATGTTCATTTCATTCACTTGAATCGCGGCAAACGCCAGCGAACCTTCGTCGGCATTCGCTGACACGGTTTTTACGTAGCTGAATGAATACTGATTTAGGCATTCAAAACAAAAGAACTTGTCGGTGGTATATTTAAAGGTTGCGACATACAATAAATATGTAAAATCATGAATAAGGGATTAAATTTAAATATTTTATGTCAAATATAATTAAAAAAAAAGTATTTATACATTTTTCATAAATTGACAGGCTTTGCGACTACTATTTCGAGTAAAAATAGCGTCCAAGATGGAAGACTATATCGCAACACCCTTATATATAATAATATATTTAATTTAATAATCTACTAAACACGAGTTTCATTTCATCAACACCTAAAACCCAAGAACTACAAGAAAAAAAAATAAAAACAAAGGTGTAAGAAAAAAAAAGAAAACTTTAAAAAAAGGAGGTTCTCCTTTTTATAAAGTAACAATACTTATATATAATAATAATAAATAATAATAATAAATTGTTTATTACAAAATAAAGTTATAAAATTACAAAGAGAAAAAATAGATTAAATTTATGAACTCAAGTAATAAACAAGGTAATCCATTTAGGCCCATCAGGCCTGTCTATGGTATAGCCGTTTATTAAAATAATTTTTATAATTTAATCTTAGCAATATTTCTTAACACATGTAAAAAATGTAAACAAAAAGAGTACTGTTAAAAAAACATATTAAAAGGTAAGTACATTTATAGCTTAAAAACTAATCTAATATAGTAAAAAGTAAGAAACATAAGAAAAGTAAGAAAGTAAAAAAAAGTAAAAAAAGTAAAAAAAAGTAAAAATAGTAAAAATAGTAAAAACAGTAAAAAAAAAGACAAATAGATAAACATTTGTTGAGAGAGAGAGAGAGAGAGAGAGAGAGAGAGAGAGAGAGTGTTGATTCTATATTTTTTAATAAATAATTTTTTTTTTATTCGATTATATCATCAAAATTTTCATGAAGGATCCATTGTTTTAACTTGTGTTTTACTCTTCTAAAGTCTTTAATCTGTCTCAGCTCTTGCGGTAGCTTATTATATAATCTTGGTATAACATAAGTGTGACATCTTTGACCTAAGACTTTATTCACTCTAGGTAAGTAAACATTATTTGCTAGATTTGATCTTGTCAAATAATTGTGATCAATTATTGTGGATGTAACAATATTATGTTTTATTGCAAAAGTCAGAGATGTGTTGACAAATAATCTTCTTATATCTAAAATTTGCATATCGTGAAATAATTGGTTAGAACTAAACCGTTGTGGTTTAAAAGACATTATTTTGAAAAATTTTTTTTGAACTATCTCTATAGGTTTCATAAATTTTTTTCTTAAACCACCCCAACCAATTATTCCATAATGTAGCAATGATCCTACAAGAGCAAAATAAATTATCTTCATTTTATCTAAGGTAAGTATATGGCGGCATTGATAAAATTTGTAAATTAACGAACGCATTTTCTTTTTCAGACTATCCGCGTGAGCATCCCATCTAAGGAAGGTATCAACAAGAATGCCAAGGTATTTTACGTGTTTTGAAAAATAAAGGATTTCGTCCTTTTCCAAAGTGATACTTCTATAATTAGGAAGAGTACTTTCATTAGTACAGAAGGGAATGACTTTAGTTTTTTGAATATTTAGGGTTAACAAATTCGATTGAAACCATTTTTTTACTTTTTTCAGATCTTCCTCAATTTTGTTTTTGACTAACTCCCAATTTTTTTCACAGCAAAGAAGGACCGTATCATCAGCAAAAGAGATTATATGACTTGAAGTTTCAATAGCAAATAAGTCATTTAAATATATAATAAAAAGGATAGGTCCAAGAACGGTGCCTTGTGGAACTCCGCAAGACACTGTTCTTATTCCACTAAGTGATTCATTAATTTTAACACGCTGATATCTGTTCATTAAAAAATTTCTAAAGAGTGTTAGAGGAGTACCTCTGATACCAAGATGTTCCATTTTGTCAATTAATAATTTGTGACTTACTGTGTCAAAAGCTTTTTGTAGATCTATAAATACACCCACGCATGATTTTTTATTATCTGTTGCTTTGTATATAAGAGCCTTGCTCACTAGCAGCTATTATTTGACAGGTTGTGAGTAAATTCTTGTTTTAAAGCCATTTATGCACTATGTTATCTATCTATCATGATGGTGGGTGAGGTTTTCCTCACCTGTAAGTCAAATGGCACCATCAATCATCTTTAAGTCGCCCCGGAGCGCCACGGCAAATAATAATAGCCGTCCCTTCCCCTACACAAGTCGTTCAGTCGACTTCAGGGGTTGAAATTCACTCGTAAGGGGGTGAATTAGGGAGAGTATTATTATTATTTCACGAAACTATGACGTCAGTAATAATTTCTTAAATGGAACAAATGATATTTTATATTAAAAAAGTTAGTCCCTTTAAATGCAAATCCTAATTAATAATAATTAATTTTTTTCTTGAGCAATTTTTAAGAAAATTATACCAAATGACTTTACAGCTCCACTTATGCCATTTAAACCATTTATGCAGTGTGTTATCTATTTCACGAAACTATTAAGTCATTCATATTTTTTTTAAATGGAATTATATTTTAGATTAAAAAAGTTAGTCCCTTTAAATACAAATCCCAATCCTAATTAATATTAATTCTAAGTTTTCTCAAACAGTTAAAAAAATTATACCAAATGACTTTACAGCTCCGTGAAATAAAACAAGAAAATCTAAAAATACGATGTAGTCACAAATACATACAAAGTGATTTGACAATTTTAATTACAGGTACTCTTGAAAAAATTGCCAAGTCTAGCATGAAAAAATTTCTCTCAAATAATGAAAACTGTTATTCACTTTTAATAATTGTGGTTTGAGAAATTCCATAGAATCGCGATCGGATCAGCTAGTTGTTAATATATAGCAAGAAAAGATCTGGTCCTAAAACAGATCCTTGTGGAATTCCATGTTTTAATTTGAAGCTTTTCTAAATTCTACCTGCCATTTTTGCAACTTGCGTTCGATTTGATAAGTAACTTTTAAACCAATTTAGTGTTAAATTTCGAAAACCGTACATGTACAATTTTTCAAAAAGTATGTTGTGTCTAACACAATCAAAGGCTTACGAAAAGTGGCAAAAGACAACCGCTAGCTCCCATGGTGTTTTTTGATGCTTGGAACCTGAACTGACGAGTAGATACAATATTATATTCAATAACAAATTCAATAATTCAAATCTACAAGCTTTTTTATGATTTTGGACAATGTAGGAAGTAAATAAATGGGTCTGAAGTTAGAGGGGTCATCCAGATTACCACATTGTAATGATATGACGATTGCTCTATTTAAACATAAATGACTAAAATTAACGCAAAATTATATATTCACGATTCGTCATTTAGGTCCATTTGCACCACTGGTCGTTAAAAAATAAGCCAAGCTTAAAGTGACATCTTTCCATTAAAAATGTCATTTTAAGCTTCGCTTATTTCTTAACTACTAGCGGTGCAAATATGTTTTAATTTTACTTTGATTTAAATTTATTTATCAGACAACACGCATAAATTGTTTACCTAAGCTTAATATACCTCCCGTAAAGTGAGAAAAATATTAAAGACACAAATCGCCACCGCCTGTCAGTTAGAGTTCTCGTATTATGCCGTAGAACGTAGAACAAAAGCGACTAATTTGCCGATGCCGATGTAAAATACCAAATCTTCGAATCCGAATCGAATGAACGAAGCAACCAAACTCGGAATGTTTGATCGATCACAGAGCCATCGAGCAATTGACTCAAAAAAGATTCGAATCTTTTAAAAACAGGGAATCAATTCATTCGAGTCAGTCCACTGATTCGTTCTTTTGGAACGAATCGTTTGCGAACGACACACCTCTACTCTCCAGTAGCTTTCTTAATTTTTTTAATGATTTTGTAACTAGTTTCATTTCACAGATATTCTTATTCCTTATATGACAATCTTCCTCTGCATTTATGTCCCTCATATATTTTATATGGAACCAAGCCTGCAGTAATATTATCAACAATGGATGTGTAATAGTAGTTTACGTTATAAGCCAGTTACCTAAATCCTTAAATGTGAGCACGTAGAGATTAGGTAACGGGCGTGTATGATTTACTGCAATTTACTACGTTTTACAACTTAAAATCAAATAAAATTTTATTATTTGACACCATAATTACAAGTTTCTAAATTGGTCAGGTGAAATGTTAGCAATGTTCCTGAAGGATTTTGTTTTCCTCTCAGTTTGTTAATAATTTTCCTGTTTCCTTTGGAACTATTACCGGACATTTCTATTCTGTTATCATAGTATTTGGATTTTGCATCTTTTATGATTTTATTATATATAATTTACGATAATTATAGAAATATTCAAGGAATTGTTGGTATATTTTTGAATGACCCGAGATTTTTATGATGATATTCGGATACCTTTTATTATTCATAGCTGTTTCTTCTTGTTTTTAATTTTAATGATAGGAAAACTTTTTTTTTAAATTATTGAAATAGGATCAGGGGTTTTTTCTGCAATATATTCTACCATACCTAAATCTATTTTTTCGTTGTATATTTAAGAGAAGTTTACAGGTTGTACTTTACATTCTGCAACGTTCTGATCGATATATTTGTACAAAAGTAATCAATTAAAATAGCAGAGTATTTTTGTTATCTACTTACTTTAAGACTATATTTATAAAAGTTAAAAACTATATAATTTTGGGTAACAAAACGAATAAAACTCCTCAAAAATAATAAAGAAGTCTACCGTCAACGTAATGGTCAGAGACATCATCATTAATTTAGCTTATAAATAAACGCAAATGGAGAAGATGTATCCAATGTCCATTTGACATTGTCGCCCGCACTTTTTGTCTGCAGAAAGATCAGTCAGTTTTTTTTTCTAGCCACACCTATCTGAAGTTATTTCAAAGAATTTCTAGTTACAACACTACTATCTTACCTGTTTAATGTTATTACTAAAAAGTGTAAATGATTCCACCACTTCACTCCTTCCCATCATAACATCTATATTTTTTATCAAACCATTCACCTTTTCATCCAAACTTTTCTCTATAACTTTGCACGTATTAGATACAGATCTACTAAATTCTTCTATCGTGCATTGCGTTATCTGAAAATCATATGATGAATCTATAATACTTTATAAACCGTTTTTGAACTTACTTTTTCATGTTTTTCATCGAGGAACGAAGCAATTTCATTTAATTTGTCTTCAAATTCTTTAACCACGACAAATAGGTCTTGTACTTCTGCTCCTTGTATGTCTATTAAAGCAGGAAGTTGCAAAGAACTGTTCAACTGGAAAACAAAGATTTTTGTGAAAAACTATCATTAAATTACATAATAATAATAATTGTTTATTCAACAAATGAAGTTATGAAGGTTATAAAAATAGAAAGTATAATACAATACATATAATATATGGAAAATATAACCAATATAGGTTGTGCAATGGGTGACAAATTTATTCATGATAATTTTAGTATAATATACTAGACAAAATTTAGATATAAGAATACTTTACAAAAATCATTTTATAACTTACATCCTTAGACGATTCCAATACTAAGCTTTTTAAATGTGTCATTCTTTCTGATATACAATCTTTTACTCGTTTGTCTGTATTCATAAGGTCCTCTTTTTCTTTTTGTATCCTGTATAAAGTTGCATTTTCATCTTCTATTTGTTGGCGTAACATTGCTATTATATTTTCTTTCCCTTCTATGCTGGTCTTTAGTTGTTTCTCGGAATCGTTCAAACACTCCAATGTTTTTAAGTTTCCTGCTTCTATAATGTCATTTTTAATTTCGTCATCATAGGTCTTTACTAATGTCATTGTTTTATCGAAAAACTGAAAGGAAAATGTTGAAATGTGAATATACAGAGTATCCCTGAAAGGTCTGTACAGAATGCCCAATAATTTATCTTAGTCAAAAAGTTGATAGTTACCAAATTACAGGGTGTCAAAGTTATAATTTTTTTATACTATTTTTGTAAATATTTATCTTAAGAGGAATACATAGCCTTAATTTTTAAATGAACGTGAAACACCTATTTATCAATGTTAAAAGAAATGTTAATTTATTGAAGTAAAAAAGTGAAAAAAATAATAAAATTTGTACAGATAAAGTGAATCATGAATTTTTTGATTTCGAGTTCTATTCCGGCCTACGGTGAACTGATTAGATTTTGGACAGTCAGAACATCTGGGGGGTACTTTATAGGGTGATCATTCTTATATTTTATGGAATATATGTTATTTAGGTTTAATGAAGGAAATTGTTCAAATAAGAGTTATTTCTTATATTATTCTTTATAATTTTTGTCCTATACAAAATTTTCCTAAAATGGTCCTTATTCGAAAAATTTGACAAATGTAAAAAAATTCAAATTTTTATGAAAATTGTTCAAATAAAAGTTCTTTGTTATATTATTTTCTATTATTTTTGCCTCATACAAAATTTTCCTAAAATGTTCCGTATTTGAGAAATTTTAGAAAATGTGCGAAATTCTGATTTTTAAGAAAATTGTTAAACTAAAAGTTGTTTGCGATATCGATCTCTATAATTTTTGTTTTATACATAATTTCTCTAAAATGGAACGTAATGGAAAAATTGGAGGAAAGGAAAGAAATTTAAACTTTTCAGTACTTTCATTGGCAATGAATATATATATATATATATAAAAAAAAATGTTTTGAGTATGTGGAAAATGTATATATTTAGTTTATCATCTAAATATTTACAGAGGTGCTATAATATGTTGTACAAAATAACCGGAAAAGCCTGTTATTAGATACACCCTATATATACATAAATGTTTCATGTTTCTATTAGAAAACAAAAAGGAGAAAATAACATTCATATTACATTCAAAAAATGCTGTCTCTTAAAACTGAAACTGGTGATAAAGCATAAATGCATATTCTCCAATATAGAAATATTAATGAGTTAATTATAAGACATTCGTTGTTGCAATATAATAAACAGAAAGCTCTTTGCTAATATTTAAGTTTATATTGTAGTTTTATTTGTAAATGCCCTTTTCCTATTACAAATCTAATAAGTTACGAGCCCAGTTTAATAATACGGTGTTCTACTTTCGGTTTTGTATTTGTTGGTATTAACTTTAGTGATAATGAATAACAATAAAAGCCGACAAAATATTAGACAATTTGATGGTGAACGGTACAGTATTTGGAAATTTCGATTGAGAGCCATACTCGCAGAAGACGCAATAAAAGTGATCGACGAGGAGACTCCGATGGAACCTGATAGAAAATGGGAAAAACTATCATTACAGAAGAAGCACGAGCCTGCCAAATTATTGAAAAACTAGATTGCATCTATCAAAGAAAAAGTCTAGCAACAGTTGTCACTTCAAAAGAATTGTTAAGTTTAAAATTTAAGGGTGATACGACGTTAGCAAAACATTTTTTAGTTTTTGATGAATTAATGATTGAGCTTTTTGCGGCTGGAGAAAATTTAACAGAAATGTCTAAAATAGCCAACCTCCTTCTCACCCTACCAACATAGGTATAGTAACTGCTATTCATACTTTAACAGATGATAATTTGACTCTTGCATTTACAAAAACTAAATTACTCGACTACGAAACAAAGTTGCAAAACGCGAGTAGATACCAGTAGTAAAGTGTTACAATTAGAGAAGCATCAAACTAAAAAGTTCTTTACTCCAAATGAATATAAATATAATAACCAAAGAGCAAAATTTTCCAACCAAACAACAAACAGAAATTATCCAAATCAAGGAAATAGAAAATCAGGACCGTTTCATTCTAATATAAAGGAGAAAATAGTGAACGTACTTTAAAACAGTTCATACGTAACCAGATAGTAAAAAGTGTTTTGTCTTCATTCTTGAAGACGTCCTATATGCTGCGGATATCCCGTACAACGTTCTTTCAGTCCGTCGTATCCAACAATATGGTATGACAGTTATTTTTAATGAAAATGGTTCTGTATTATGAATGGTAACGAAACAATAATAGAAGGTAGAGTACGATTCAACTTAGAAAAAGCCACGGGCGTCATCAACTAGTCATCGTCTGCCTCACTTTAAAATATTCCTTCTCCGTTGCTCCAGATCGATATACCAGTGGCGTAGGCTCTCATTTAAATAAGAATTAAAGCAGTTTCCCAACAAAAAACATTTATTGGATTAAAAAGTTAAATTTTAATGATTTAAACATTTGTATATTACCTAAATAACTAAACTAAAATAACATTACATATATTTTTCGACTTTAAACATTCAGTGGGAAGTAAATAAAAATAGCAACACAATTTTGTAATTTAAGATTTTTATTACAATTAAAATAATAGTTATTTATGCAACTAGTGCAAAAAGTGAAACTAGAGGAGTACATCCTAGTTCGTCCGTTAATGAACTATTATACTGTTTTTAAACTAAGAGGAGCGATTTGAATTTAAGTTGGCAATTCTGTAGCCTTCTGATTGGTCAGATTACAGTCAGTTTCACACATTACTTTTCAGCATGAACATCAGCTAATAATTGATATTGTTAACAGTTCTGACATTTTATAATTTGATATCTCATCCATTACTTAGTTTTTTACTTTATTTCGTAAATAATAGTTCTTCAGTAAGCAATTGTATTGAAAATCTACAATTATGGATCCTTCTACACCGAGTACTATTAAAGGTAGCAATTCCTGAAAAGCCTTACAAGAAAGGGAAAACACCTTATTATTTTACATGCTGATTCTGAAGGTTTTGTAGAAAATGCATTATTGGTTTTTAAAGGTAAAAAGATGGGAGATTACCATGAAGAGATGAATTCCGAAGTATTTTAGAAAAAAATAATTTTATTACTGATTTTTTAAAACTAAAAATTGATGAATTTCTAACCAAAATGATTAAAATGTAACTAAATATTCAAGCAATTTTTATTTATTAGAATATAATAAAACTATTTACAAAATTGTTATAACATTTAAAACACCATCTACTACTTTAGGGATAATCTTAATTTGGCACAATGAGTTAACATTATTTTCACAAAAAATATTTTAAAAATACTTAAAATGAATACATAAGTATGTATGAATAGTTCACTTTAAAAAATATATGTTGACATGTTGTGTTATGAAAATGTTGGTTCCAGTTTTTAAAACAAATTCTGACTCATAGGCCTGCAAACTTTTGAATGCCTTTATTTGCCCTCTAGCGCATTAACCATGGGTTAACACTAAATAAGCCATAATATCCACATTACTCATAGAAGAGATACCAGTTACTGTGTGATCCACTTGTCATTCACTGATTAACTTTTACTTTTTATACCTATAACAAATATATTCTTAAAAATATAAACAGATCTTTATATTTTATACTAACCTGGCTACATCTCGATATTCCATTAACAATTTTCTTAAATATTTAATATCCATTTTAAAAAGATCATAATTATTCTCAAAAAGTCGATTTCAAAAGCAAGAAAAAAGTATTTCTGACATCAATCAACAACCATATTGACTTTAATTTGACAGTGACATTTCGTTTTAGACACACATTTCAGATCACAATAATGTGAAATTTGCGACCGTTGTCCAATTAAAAAATTACTTTTATGACATTTATTCGTTTCTTAACCGCTCATTGGCCGTTCACCGACTAAGGCCGATAAAGATAATTATTTCATAAATTTTGAACACGACTATATTTCGAAACTCGCTCTTAGTAACAAATCTAGTTACTTTTCCCTGTGTAAATGCGTCTTTTCAATTCGCTCCCCCTAGTTTAGTAGTATAGTACTCTCGCTGTCTTCACTTTCTTCCGATGAACCCGTATTTTTGTTCGTAAGTAAAAGCTTGGCAACGCCGAAGTTTGGCTAACAATGCGCTGGTTCAGTGTGATGTCATTTTGGTTCCACTGACATTTAATTCTAACCAAACTTTCAACAAAAACATCAATAAATTTGACATATACGTTCTTACTGTTTTTAGTTTATTTCTAAATATTGTTTAAAGGTCATAAAAATAGTTGAAAGGTATGTAAATTGGTAACTAAACGATTGCATATTTGATGCATGTTATCTACTTACTTTAGGAATATATTTATACAAGTGAAAAAACGATATAATTTAGGTAAACACTAACGAACAAAACGCACTCAAAAATCTACTGTCACTTTAATTGTCAGTGGATCCATGTTTACGCGATAGCTTCTGTTCGAATTATATTCTGGACCATGCGGCAGTCGTACAGCGTTGCCAAATTATTAAGCAATTGTATATCTATATTAGAAAAACGAAAAAACCGCCAAAATGCCACTGACGCTTAAATGGGATGGACCTGAGAGAGAGGCAAATTATTGCGGCCTTTGTCAGGTATGATGTGTGTGGCTTTTTCTTAGTTGAATCGTACTATAAGCTCCAAAATCATTTAATAACAGTTACTCTAAAAGTAAATAAACCATTTAAACTGCACGCAAATATTGTTTCTGAAAGGACATTAAATAATAATTATAAATTTTGGCATCCCCGTTTAGGCCATATAAGCAAAGAAAAACTTTTACAGTTGAAAAATATCGACTTTTTAGATGACAATAAATATTTAAACACTATTCAACTTTCACATGATATATGTGAAGCTTGTATTTATGAAGCCAAAGATAAAACTCATATTAAAAAACCATTATTTATTGTCCATTCAGATGTGTGTGGTCCAATAACTCCACCCACTTTCGATGACAAAAATTATTTTGTCACATTTATTGACGATTTTACTCACTACATAGTTACATATTTATTAGCGTACAAACTTGAAGTTTTTAAAATGTTTGAAGATTTTTTATTAAAAAGTGAAGCA